ACCCAAATCCTAATTAAAAAAAAAAAAATTATATTTAATTTTTAGACTTGTAAGTATCATTTAAGTACTTACAAATGTTTGTTAATCAGAGAACTGTAGTACTAAAAAATAAAATTGAGTAAATTAAAAAAAAAAGAAAAAAAAATACAGTTTTCTTCAATCCAAATAACAAAAGATACTAAATTATATAAAAAGTCAGTCATTTGGGGTAAAAACACATACCTTAATTTTGGCCATCAAAGCATCAATAGAAATTTCAAGATCCTTGATCTGTTTAATCACTTCTGGTTTTCCATCTTTCAATGCACTTACTACTTCATTAAATTTATCGAGTCGTTTTTTCAATGTGCCCACCTTAACAAGGCCATCAATGCTATAAAGATGATACATGATTAGAGTGTAATGTTGCCATTTAAAGATACGTTGTTGTTGCTGTTGTGTGCTGTCAAGTCAGACCTGATTCACAGCAACCCCTCCTTGGGTTTCTGAGGCAGTATCACTACGGAAGTAGATTGCCCAACTTTCCTTCCAAGGAGTGGCTGGTGGGTTTGAACCACCAGCCTTCTGGTTAGCAGTCAAGTGCCTTAGGTACTACACTACCAAAACTCCTATTTAAAGATATAGAAAGGTTTTTCCAAAAAAAGTAGTAACAGATAGGGCTAAAATTTCACTTTTTTCAATATTATTCAATATTTTCTTTTTCAAATCTGCTGTTAAAGGTGAAAAGTAGTAATAAAAAATGGATGCAAATGACATCAGTGTTTGTCAGTGGGATTTAAATCTTCTGTATTTAGAACAAGGAGCTCTGGTGGCACTGTGGTTAAGGCACTGGGCTGCAGACCAAAAGGTCTGTGGTTTGAACCCACTAACTGCTCCATGGGACAAAGTTGAAGCAGTCTGCTTTTGTAAAGATTTACAGCCTTGGAAACCCTATGGAAGTCGCCAGGAGTCAGAATCAACTCAATGACAGTAGGTTTGGTTTTATATTTAGAATCATGAAATTAAAAACTCAAATTATAGACAATGCAATGGAAAGACCTTAAAAATAGTTGTTTTTAATAGTTACTCAGACCTTCACATTTAAAAAGTATAAGTCAATACTCTAAGGTTCAAATAAGAAATTAACAGTAAATTTATAGTGAGACCGTATCATTCCTATAGATAATTTTGAAAAACACAAAGTATTAACAAGACAGTGAGAATAAGCTTCAATATTTCAATAAGATTTCAGCTTTCAGCAGTGTTAATTTGACAGGTATCAAGAAACTCAAGTCAGTAAAATAATCTGAATAACCATTTTCTAAGCAATTATTTGCACTTTTTACAGTGTTTACAGAAACCACGCTTTTTGTAGAATGAGTCAAATAATGAATTAACTAATTTCAAATAAATATTACCAACAAAAGACTACTGTATCTTTTTACAATGTACATGAGAAAAGAAAACTTCATGAGTACCCCAACAGCTCTTCACTGTAAGATTACTTTCACATTATTTTGAGGTAATTAAGTTTTGTAGGGTCCTTTAGGCACTATTCATCATCTTACCGAGGTTTGTGTCTCCTTTTGCAAAGCCACATTCGAATCGTTTTTTGCATTTTAATACAGGCTTCTGCTCGATATTTTATTTTGTTTTTCACTATATGTAAGTAAAATAAAACAATTTTAAAATATGAAGTTTAAATTAGACATACAATATTAAAAATATACACATTCATTTCCACAAAGCAATATTTAAGAAACATGAAATTTTAATGAACGTTATTATACCAGACACTAAAATCAAAATTTCCTATTTCTTTAATTCCTTACATTTCTTAAAAATAAAAAGGACATCATGCATATGGCTTGCTTTTAATTGCCATCAAGTCAATTCTGACTATATGACTAGATTTCTATTTTAAAGGCATCCTTATTACACCACAAACTATTGTTCCCCAAACTTGCCTACATAATAATGGTTCATAAAATATTAATAAGTATGCTTTGAAAAATGGATTAATCTGTCAGTTAAGTCTACGAAAAGCTACATACTAATCTCAAAGATTCAGAATAAACATACTAAGTGAGGCATTTGAGAATTCTGTAGTAAAGGGATCTACTTAACTTCAGTTGACTATAATTTGCTATGAATCTGACCTTGAAACATTTTTTTCAAAGCAACCTGCAAAGATTTCTGCCCAATTACTAACTTCAGTATCAGTGACCAACACAGTCCCCAGATAGTACAGCATAATTTTAATGTAACGTATTTATGGGTTTTCCATCGTAATGAAAAACTACAGTGACGTAAATTTATATTTTACTTGAAAATGATGTGAACAAAGAGCTTCCTTTATCTTTCATAATTTTCTTTTCATCTAAATTCACAACTGTATAACATAGGCCCAAATAATCATCTTTGCCTGCATTGTTCCTTTTCATTGTTGTTGTGGGGGACCTTCTAGTCAATTTAGACTCACAGTGACCCCAACATGACAGGCAGAAATACCCCATAGGATTTTCTAGTCTATAATCTTTACAGGAACAGATTAGGTCTTTCTCCTACAGAATGGCTGGGTGGGTTTGAACCACCTACCTTTCAGTTAACACCTGAGCCTTTAACTGTTGCACCAGGAAAGTAGGTCAGAGGAATTTTATATTTCTATGAATAAGAAACTATTCACTGAATCCTTTTCATGTGCTCAGCACTGTTTGAAGTGCTGTGATAAATATGGCAGGGGGTGGGGGAGACGGACCATAAATCTAAATGAAGTCACCACAGAGCTCCAACAATTAAAGGTTGTTAAATACCCTCTAACTCAAAAAAAAAAAACTGACTGCCATCAAGTCCATTCCAACTCATAGAGACCCCCTTTGGGTTTCTGAGGCGATAAATCTTTATGGAAGCAGATTTTCCAGTCGTCCTTCCATAGAGTAGTGGGTGGATTTGAACCATCAACCTTCTGGTTGCAGTCAAATGCCTTAGGCACTATGCCACCAAAGGAGCTCAGGTTTTCTAAAAAATTCTCACCCTTGTTTTGGGTTAGAGTTAAGTAGCTGCCTCAACCTTGCAGAAACACACATATACGCAGCTCTGTCCAGTGCATCAGAGAACAAAGTCTGAAAAGGAGTGGTGGGAAATGAGGCTGAAAAGGTAAGCTATACCCCATTTTGTATAGTCTTAAAAGACATTCTAAGAATGTAGGCTATCCTCTACTCAAGAAGAGCCATAAAAGAGTATTAAGAGAAGACAAACTGTAGTCAGGAAAGCCAGTTTGGGAGCTACTGAAATTATTCTGCAAGTGAGCATAAGGGGCTTCATGCAGATGCTGGCAATAAATAAGAAAGAATGCACAGGATTTACAGGCAGGAGTAATAGGATTCGGTGACTGACAAGGTCTCAGGGATAAGAAAGAAGAGATAATTACAACCTTGAAATTTCTGGCTCTGAATGACCGCACATTGATGGCAATGCTGTTGTTGTTGCGTGCCGTGGAGTTGGACCCGACTCATGATGACCCCTCCTTGGGTTTCCGAAGCAGTATCACTACAGAAGTAGATTGTCCAACCTTCCTTCTGAGGAGTGGCTGTTGGGTTTGAACCGCCAGCCTTCTGGTTAGCAGTCAAGTGCCTTAGGCACTATGCTACCAGAGCTCCCAATGGCGATGCTACACAGGTGGAAAAGAAAAAATTTCTGGTGCAAGTCTGAGAGACTGGTGGATGGTGTGTGATAGAGGAATAGAGAGAAGACTTATGACAATGAGTTTTGTTTTGTTTGAGACATGATGGAATTAATGTTCCTATAACACACTGAGTCCCTGGGCAGTGCAAAGAGTTAATGCTTTCAACTGCTAACTGAAGGATTGGTGGTTCCAGGCCATCTGACGGTGCCTCTGAAGAAAGTCCTGGTGACACACTTCTGAGAACTCAGCCACTGAAAACTCTTTGGAGCACAGCTCTACTATAACACACACAGAGTATGTGTAAGCATGGGTAAGAATCAACTCAACGGCAACCGGTTGGTTATGAAACATTCAGATTTAAAAAAAAGGAGCATTAAACACTCAAAACCACACACAAAAATAAAGCCTATAAACACTAATTTACCACAGACTACATTTGCGGTGTTGCTGAAGAAACAGGACACGTCATGCACAAAAGATGCAGCCCAGCATTCCCCATGGAGGCAGCCCTGAAGCACTCCACAAACCAGCTCATTCCCAAAATAAGGACAGATGTCAGTGCAGAAGAAAACACCTACGTTTGATGACCGAGAGGGAGCACCACTGAACTTTCTTCCAGCGACTGCAGATGAGCCAATGATTGACTCTTTTTACCAACTCTGCTAAGTGGTCAGGGTCAGACTTCATAATCTGATCAAATTCTGCAAACTAGGAAATAAAATAATATGTTATCAATATCAAAAGATAAGTGTGTTTAAACACACACAGAGAAACAAAATAAGTGGAAAATTAATTAAAAAACCTAACTTTCTGGAAATGGCCACACGCCAATTACACAGACATATCTCAGTGGGGTAGACAGCAAATCCAAATGTGCTTGGTTGCATTTTGCTGTCTTTTTTTCCTTGCTTCTTTCAGAATTGTTTTTTGTGTTGAGGGACTATTTATTGTTTACTAGCACATTCAATAATAAAGTCTGACAGCAGAAAAAAATATTAACTGACTTAATTCCAGAGAGTTGGCAAAAAGGCTATTGAGAAAAGAATGAAAAAGGGGCTAATGTATCTTTGATTTTGGTTTACTCACATTCTCAGATATCTATCTGTTTTGGTCTCCTGATAAGTGAAGGCCAACTAACGTCAGATACCACTAAAATTATTCTATCTCACAGCCCCTACCCTCATTTTGGTTACTAAAAGACAGCACAAATAAAGCTATCAGGTATTAATGAATAAAATGCATTATTAGGTCTACTGTAAACACCAAATTCCATAATAATTTCTATCCTTCACCAATTTTCTCACTACAATATTAAGGATGCCAGACATCTCTCAATCAATGCACTGGCTTCTGTGTGGGTCAAAATTAAATTAAAGAAACATAATAAGACTAAAGATTTCTAGATCTTTGCCTTAGGGTTTCAACATATCCTTTTGATTGATGAATTTTTCTGGAGGTAAACAAAACCAACTGTTTCTTATACAGGCTATTAATTCTTACATAATGATTATACGTCTGAAATAAGAAAAATGTTGGCTTTATAGTAAATACATATGATTACAGCTAATCCAAAAATGAACACTTGTATTTTCTTTTACTATTTATTTATTTTTTTCCTTCTATAGGAAATGGCATAGGCCCTCTGAGATAAAAATATTCTCAGGGATGTACATATTTTGATAATGCATATACATTATTTCATTTCATGCCTGTGGTAGTTAGGGTTATTTGTCAACTTGGCTGGGCCTGGATTTTGGGTGGCAGCTGGATGTAGCGATTCCCCATCAATTCCTTGGTGGAACCTGCTGTGAGCAGCTGACTAGCTGCCTTAGAGATGTGGTCTGCTTCCAGTATATAAGAAGCCTTGAGAAAGGTCTTTAAGCTTTTTGGCACATTTGGACTCTCCATGTAGCTGAGTCTTCATTCAGCAACCTGCCATGTTGCCTGCCAATCTTGTGACTGTTTCTGGACTTGAACTAGTGGCCTGCTACATTGCTTAACAATCTTGGGACTATGCCATTTTACTTGTCAACGTTGGGTTTGTCAGCCTCAGCAGCCAACAACTGCCTGAGTTAGAAAAGCCTCAAGCTCCAGTGAGCCAGGAGCAAGAGGCAGAGCTGAAGCCCAAGGTCAAGGGGCCTTCACCCAGCCACTAAAGCTGGCATTTTGAACTCAGACTTTACATGTGGTTACTGACCATCTGATTCAAGAATAATACAAATCACTAAATATTTTAAAATATTCACTAGCCTCAACTATTTGTGTTTATAATACTAAAGTTTAAAAGAAAAGTATATTTACCTTGCCAGGTCTAAAAAATACTTTTGTTAACCCAAACTTATAGTCGATTTCACTCAAGCCCAAAGCTTTAAAAAGAGCCTGCAAAATACAAATAAAAAAGTCAGATGCTAACAAATAATTAAGAGGAAAGAGAGTTTATACATAAGGTTTCAATATGGAAGGTATTTTACCTTGCAAAAGAGTCTTGGATCCAGTCTTGCAAGTTTATCTGGCATATATTTTTTATACATGTTATAGAGTTCATGAAATGAAGCTCGTGATGGAAAACCACCCTGCATCAAGTCCAAAACAGACACCATACCTAGATTCATAAACACACACAAATCATTGCCTGTAACTGTATAGAAGTCCAAATATAACTTGGGAAAGATCAAACAATGTTACAAATTAATGTTTACTAAGGAGAAATTTACAGGAATTATCAGCAATGAAATATGACATGTGAAACAGTTTTTATACTCGATATGCTCCAACTTTATCCACTGCCTACACATATTTTAAGAAGCAAGTGATGGTTCAGTAATAGAATTCTCGTCTTCCATTCTAGAGACCTGGGTTCAATTTCCAACTCATGTATCTCATGCCCAGCCACTCCTCATCCGTCAGTGGAGGCTTGTTTTGTTCTGATGCTAAACAGGTTTCAGCAGTTTCCAGATTAAGATAAATTAGACAGTAAGGCCTCACAGTCTATTTTCAAAACATCAGTCAGTGAAAATGGATCACAGCACACCAGTAATGGGAGTGGAATGCTGGGGCTGACTAGACAGCAGCTAAGAACAACAATTTAGAAGAACTATTATAGCCAAATTTCATCTAGAAACAACTTGACCATTTTCTAGTGGGTAAACTATTGGTCTCTAGAAAGCTCCAACACAGTTTGTATCTCTTCTTCCATCAGAAACTTCTTGTCACAAACACAGTATATACATATAAGGCAAAAGACTACATTAGGCCACTTTTTAAGTCCTGAGGTTAATTTTTGAACAAGATTTCTGACAGTGTCTCCAAGAAGCAGTAAGACACATTCCCAAGTTCTTACCAGTGCTTAAGAAAGCAAACAGAAAAGAACTAACTATTTCATTATAAAGACCCCTTTCACTCACTTCTCAAAGAAAGTATAGTCTGCCTGGATGAAGAATCTATAGGTTGAATATTTACTTCAGTATAATTCTAGTAAATAGCTTATTTATTAGTGTAAGTCAATGTGAGCTTTTCACATCAGGAAAAGTATACAACAGGCAGGGAAAGGCTCAGATGCTACAAATGACGACATCGATGTCAGGCCTGAAGTTTATAAAAAAACCTGGCTTTCTATCTATGGGGCTATTCAAATCAATGGAGAAAATAAGATTATTCAGCAGAAAGCGTTATGATGAATGGCTAGCTATTTGGAAGACAAAAATGGCACTGGATCCTAACCTCACTCTTTATCCTAAATTAAATTTAAGTTTTGAATTTTAAAAACCCAAAGCTATAAAATATAAAAAAATGAGTAAAATTTTATTTTAAGAACAAACGGTCTTTTGGGGCAGTCAGCATGAACTCTACCCTATCTTACCGGCAAAGGTATAAACACCAATAGTATTCAGTTAATGATAGTATAGGAAAACACATTCATGCACTCCTGATGAGAGAGAAAACCAGTGCAACCCTTTTGGATGCCAATTTGAAAATACTTATCCCTATGACTCAGTACTGTACTATAAATCTATCCTACAATTTGTCACATATATGGGCAAAGTTATATGTACAGAGATGTCCACTGGATCACTATTTATAATAGAAAAAAAAAAGAAGAAGTAACTCAGATATCAATACAGGATTGGTTAACTAAATTACATTATAAATACATGACAGAGCATGATGCATTAATTGAAAAGAATGGGGCACAGTTCTGACCAGTATAAAAAATATATCCAAGACTTAAAGTGCTCACCCCTGAGAAGTAAGACTTTTATTTATATTACTCTGTACTACTTTTTATTTTTATTTATATTACTGTAAATGATTTAATCTTTCTTACCGTGAGCATTTATAACTATTAAAATTTGTAATACTAATTAATGAAACATGTAAAGGCAATAGTTCTTATTGGGGAAAAAAAAATCCAGAGCTGGATTTAATTCAAGGCTCTGTTTGGAGAAATAAAAGTAAAGTTTGGTTGAGACTGTCATAATGTTTTCCATTTATATTAAATATACAATCACCCTTGGAAATGTATGCCTCTGCACTCTCTACGTTCTTTGGTGTGCCCTGTAGCTATACACAAACTATAAACTATTTCATACAAGTTCACTAAGAATTTCATGGAGCTCAACAAATTACCAAGCCGACAACTGATTTCTCAGCACTTTAAGCTAATTTACATTAAAAACCGTTTGAAGCACTAAAAAAATAAAAATCACTAAGCCAAGTACCCTTCCTTCTGGAAATCCTCATGGCTGGGCTCTTACTCTGGGAGTTCGGTGGGGAGCTTCCTGGTGCAGTACTGTCTGATTATATATTCAGGGCCCCCTCCCTCTCTGCTACCAGACAAGTAGCACAGTGCTGAGATAATTACAGAGGAAGGAAGACCTGCCTTCTCTCACCTTCCCTTACTTTGCCTTGATGCTTCTTCATCACAAGATAGAAATGTTAACAAAAGGTATCCTAAATTAATTAGTTCTCCCTAAGACAATAAATAAATAAATATATAAATGAATGAATGGCTCAAATGGGAAGGCATGGTAGAACTCAAATCTTCATATCTTTATTTTTAAAAGCTTTGTTACTATTTTTATTTCTACCAATCATTGATACTTTTTGCTTTTTCACATTACTTACCCACATACCTAGAACCCATTCTGAATCATTACACTATTTTTAGTACCTCAAAAAAAAAAAATCAAAGTATTATGAATTTGTTGTTGTTGTTATTTGCCGTCGAGTCGGTCCCGACTCATAGCGACCCCTCCTTGGGTTTCCGAGGCAGTATTACTACGGAAGTAGGATTGCCCAACCTTCCTTCCAAGGAGTGGCTGGTGGGTTTGAACCGCCAGCCTTCTGGTTAGCAATCAAGTGCCTTATCCATTAAACTACCGAAGTATCTTAGAGTATATTGAAATACACTGCTTATTGAAAATGTAATCTTAGCTGAAGTATTAGTAAACTCATGCCCTTTTAATCTAGTGGTGTATATACAGCTAAATAGAAATATGCTTGACTTGTCAAGACAGTAGATGTTCGCTTAGGAAATAATTAAATTATTTTCTTATGCTAAACAAATTCTAAAGAGAAATTTAAACCAGAAAAAAGTCAAACTCAAAGTAAAATAAGAACAACATAAGGAAAATATTACAAAAATAATTCTATATCACATGTAGGAATACGACAGAAATGATTTATTCAATTTTCTAGTATTTGTTAGAATTAGTCATAAATACATCTTCATATTTTCTAGACTGTGTAGTTCATTCAACAAATATTTACTGAGCCTAGTATATAACAGACACTACTAGGAACTGCTGTTGCTGTTATGTGCCGTCGAGTCAGACTCAACTCAGAGCAACCCTTCCTTGGGTTTCTGAGGCAGTTTCGCTACAGAAGTACATTGGCCAACCTTCCTTCTGAGGAGTGGCTGGTGGGTTTGAACTGCCAGCCTTCTGGTTAGTAGTCAAGTACCTTAGGCACTACTCTACCAGAGCTCCTTACTAGGAAACAGGGATATATATATAAACCAATATATGGTTCCTGCCCTTATTGGGCCTATAAGTTAGTTGTTGTTGTTTTATATGCTGTCAAGTCGGACCTGATTCATAGCAACCCCTCCTTGGGTTTCCAAGGCAGTATCACTATGGAAGTAGATTGCCTCATCTTCCTTCCGAGGAGTGGCTGGTGGGTTTGAACCACCAGCCTTCCGGTTAGCAGTCAAGTGCCTTAAAGGAAGGAAAAACTAAATAATACACAAATATACATAAAATTTTGACCATGAATAAAAGTAGTCAAGGCCCTGAGCTCATATTAGTTAGGAACATCAAGAAAAGTTTTCATAAGGAAATGATAATCCAGCTGAGATGTGAGTGCTAAAGGGAAAAGTGAGGCAAGAGTATACTTAACAGAGGAAGCAACATGTGTGCATGCACTGTGACGGAAGGGAGTAAGGAGCCCAAGGGACTAGAAAGGCCAGCTTGGCTGAAGCACAGAGGGAGACTGGAAAAAGATGAGGCTAAGGACACATGAGCCAGACTATGTGGTCCCCTATAAGTTATTGAGATTTTGCTCCATATCCTAATAATCATGGGGAACCATCAAAAGTTTTAAGTTGTCAAACCCTTTCAAGTTTGTGAAATGATAATTCCGAATGTACATAAAGAACAGACTGAGCAATGCAAAGAGAACACTTAGGAAGCTACAGCAGAAAAGCTAGGTGAAAGATGGTAAAAGCGTTGACTAGGGAGGCAGCAATGGAAATGAGGAATGGACTCACTGCTTAAGAGGTCCTATCAAGGGGATGTGGGGAGTCTTAGAGAATAGAGAGCTGTGTTGTCCAATACTGCAGCTACCAGCCACATGCTCTGTAGCTGAACCAGCCACATGTGGCTATTTAAATTTCACTTAAAAAACTAAATAAAATTTAAAATTGTTAAGGACCTAATACATACAAGCCATATTTTAAGTGTTCAACAGCCAAAAAATGTCTTTAAAAAAACCAAACTCATTGCCATTGATTCGATTTCAACTCACAACAAACCCCATGGTTTCCATGGTGGTAAATCTTTACAAAAGTAGATTGCCTCTTCCTTCCATGGAGTGGCTGATGGGATTGAACCACCAACCTTCTGCTTAGCTGTCAAATGCCTTAGGCACTACGCCATCAGAGCTCCTTCACAAATGTCTAGTGCCTACAATATTGGAAACACAGATACAGAATATTTCCATCATCATGGAAAGTTCTACTGGACAGTGCTTGTATAGAACAAGAAAAATAGGCCTAACCCAAAGTCTGCAAAAAAAAAAAAAGAACAAATAATATCCAGGTGGAAGAAGATGAGCCTGCAAAGAAGTCAGGTATGGGCTGAGAATACAAAAGAAAAGATGTTTCAGGAGCCAAGGAAGAATAAACTGAAGGGATTATTCAGAATCAAATGTCCTAAGGTCCACTAAGGTAAGGGACTGTAAAACAAACATTTGATTTTGGATCAAGGAAATCATGGGTGACCTTGTCAAAAACTACTCTGGTGTACTGACTGTGGTGGAAACAATTCCCTTGGGTTAAAGTGTGAGTGGAAGGCAAAAAAGTGAGAAAGCAAGAACAAACTGTGCTTTCTTCTCTTTGAAGGGGAGAAGAGAGTTAGGAAGGTAGTTGGAAGGGAATGTAGGTCAGAGGGAATTAAGAGGAAACCCAGGCATGCTTAAATGCAAATGAGAGAGAGCTGCCTCGGAGAGCAAGGCTGAACATGCATAGTCAAGATTCATGAGAAGGTAGGAGGAAAGGATTCTACGGAACTATATATAAGCCTCAGTTAGGAAGAGAGGAAATTCTTTCATCCTTAAGAGGAGGGAGGAAGACGACTCATGCTGGTAGATACATGCATTCAGTAAGGGCAGGTAAAGCTTTTAGTTTTTTAATAAAAAGGTGAGGCTACCAGCTGGGAGAGGCTCACAGATTTGAGCAGACCTGGATGGGTCAAGAGTAGACAAAGGCAAAAACATGTTCAGGGCAGGTTTGAGAAACCTTTACAGGTCAGTGAACATGATCATGATGCCAATCTGTCTTGCCTACCAACCCTGTGTCAACATGAGGAGAGAAGAGAACTAAATTCATCAACAGCTAAGTTTCTGTGAGAGGGGTCAGGCATCAATCCAGATTTTAGGGGCCTGAAGCATACACAATTGAAGGAGAGCTCTTTAAGAAAATAATACAAAATTACAAATACAAAATTAGGTGCAGAGCTTTGGAAGGGGCTCATCCTAAATGAGGGACCCTGAAGCTTAAGCATCCTTAGCTTCATAATAAATCTGCCTCTGACAGTAGCACAAAAAAAGGAGTCAGGGAGGTAAGAGAGTTTAAAGAAGTGCCAGGAGCCTAAGCCAGAGAAAAAAAGGTTAAATAAAGAAAGGGGAGGGCCGATGCCTTAAGAAAAAGCGGGGGGGGGGGGGGGGAGGGACGGGTGGGGGTGACAGATGAGCATGGAGTGAAGGAATAGCAGTGGGCCTGGTACCTAAGGCTTCTGTGACTGAGGAAGGTCAGAACATGACAAGACAAAGCATAGGAAGTGATAATTGACCCAAATGCATGTAAGCTCCACAGAAGGTGAAGGTATTGCATTGCTTTCAGTTTTTTAGAAGAGGCTGAATGGGAAGTAAGGTCACCCTACCTACCTTCTGACCTTAGTTATGAGGGAAGTGCTGCTGAACTGAGAGAGCCAGGGGAAAGCAGCCCACCTGGGGGAAATCTAGGTTTACCTTTTTAGAAATTTTACTTCACGATGTAAAAGTTATTTCATAATAAACTCAATATTGCTCAAATAATTAGCTAGCCATGCTTTTCTTATAATTAAAAGAAATATAAGAATCTTATTGCACTTAAAAATAATCAAAATAACTGTGTATTATTTGAAAACATTAGAGCTAATAAAATGTATCTGAGCTAAGATCACTGATATATATTATAAAATATTGAAATACCTGAACACTGAAGTTGAGACAAAATTTGAGCACCTTCAAAGTGGTGGCTTGTCATTTTTAAGTTAGGTTTGATGCAACGTATAAAGCTTGCTCCCTAGGGAATAAAGGTACTTTTTGAGACAACCTACAGATCATTCTTATATTTCTATTTCTATAAATACCAGAGACTTTCACAGCATAATGTCATTAACATATAAAACTCTTAAAATAATCACTAATGAAATTTAAAATTGTATTAGCATGCTTTTATAATTTAAAGCTTGGCATGAACTTCTGCATTATATATTAATATTACAAAAACATATTTAAGATTTTTGCATATTTAAACATATTTAAGATTTGAATGTCAAAAATGCTACTGTTAGAAAAACAATTTCATTGTAAATTATTTCAACTTATTTAAGCAACACATATCATAGGCTGACATGTATGATCTACATTTCAACATATTTATATGCTATATTTCTTTGATAAGAAAATGTCCCATGACAATAGGAGCAAATAAAATTTAAAATCATAACCCTTAAATTTTAGACCAAAGATTTAAAAAAAAAAAATCATGAATTTAATCATTCTACCATAAAAATATGTAACAGCTTCCTAAGCTGAATCATCATACATTATAGTTTTGTTTGTTAAAGAATACTTTAAAAAGCTTAAAGGCATTCCTTTGGAATCAGTTATCAGCTCATGTTGAATGATGCAGAGAGGATACTGATTATGTACAAAATGAAACTGTTGAGCACTAAGTCTAATATACTAGACAAAGTAGTCAGACCTTGCAAAACTATACAGTTATTTCATTGCAAACACTTTCAGAACACATTTTAGCATGCCTTGGATGGTAAACCACAAGTGTAATCTCATCATTTTAAAGTAGCTAAGAAAGATACTTAAAAGAACATAATGATTCCAAATGCAAGTCTAAAAATAAATTAAGTGAAATGGCACTGACAGGATAAATATTTAACTTTACAAAATGACTATCTGAAAAGGAAGAAAATTCAGTCAGCCTCAGTGGACTTCTATAAAAGATAAATTTTAACTTTGAATCATGCCTCATTTATATAACCCACATGTAGGATATTTTAATTGAATAATATTCACTGTATTTTATATATTTACAGAATATTTTTATTTTGCATATACATTTGCCCTTTCATCAAAACAAACATATCCAAAATGACTATCTTTTTACAACTGAATTTTTTTTTTTAATGAAAGAAATCTGGATAAAAATGCATTTCTAATTATTCCAAGTTTACTGGTTTTAGACGTAGGTAACTACACCATAAAGCGAGCAAATGAAAGGACCCTTTTAAGTATACTCACAGTACTTCGAAGTTTATCCAGAAGCAAATTTAACTGTGTCTGTAGAAGAAACCAGTTTATTATTTCAAAAAGCAAAAGTGCACAATGTACAAGTTAATATCAGCTTAGCAAATTTAGAATAAAACATGCAATAACATCCATATATAACGGATTACCATTTGTACAATTTGCTGTACAAGTTCTTTTAACAGATAGCATCATGCAAAATGTCTAATGTAAGGCCAAGGACAATTACTTTCTATATTTACAAACAACTTATATAACTAGAAGACTGAAAGTTAACAATTCTAAACATATACACACATACTTGCAGGCAGGATGAATTCATTAAAATGTGTACAGGCAATGAAGGAACCAATGAAACGTTGGGGGTACATTCAATAAGAGATCAATAATACATATTTGACTATGTGACAAACTAGGTATAGTTTGAGTCACAGGCCATTAAGAACAAAGACATGTTTAAGATATACAGTAATGGTATACCTTAGGATTCATTCTTATGACATTTTGGCACAAATAATACTGTCCTGCCTAGCTACAGAAATTTTTACTATTTTAAAAAAATAGGAAGACATTTCACAGTTCAATTATTTTTTTAAGCTTGGATAGTTTTCTCATATAAAATATGACAATGAATATTACAAATTATTCTGCTGTTCTCTTTTTAATATTAATTATCTGATCATAATTTACCCTGATTTGATACATTAAAATTATTTACTACTCTGTAAATTAATTATGTAAAATGCTTATATCTGAGTTTTATAATGACATGCTCATTGTGCTACTTAAAATTAATATGTTAATTCTTAAATCAGTATATTGGGGATCTATTATGTTATAATTAGTAATAACAGATGCACTTTATTGAATACATTCTATGAATCGGAAACTGCTTAAAGCTTTTCACGGACATTATCATATTTAATTTTAATTAAGGATATATCATTAGTCTCCTTTATCAGGTAAAAAACACTGAGGTCCAGAAAGATAAAGAACTTGTCCAAGATCATGGTGCCAGTAAAGGCAACGCTAAGATTCCAAAAGTGGCCTACTACCAACGCTCATTCCCTTAGCCTTGATATTACAGCACCCTTCACACATCAGAGGGCAGCATTAATTCAGAAAAATGGAGCAAATCTATCATTAGATTAAAATATACATACTCATACTTATCTAGTAGATCAACACACAATTGAAAAAAATGGAAAGAGCTGCTAATTTGGAAAGAAACCAACCATCACAGAGCCCATGTTCCTTAATACACAGAATAAGCAGAGTATCCTTCCAAAAAATGGAGATAAAATAAGATAGGAGAGTAGAAGTAGCAAAAATAACTAATATAGCAGCTAAGAGAAGGAGGAAGAAAGACAATTATCAAGGAACAGCAGTCAAAGACCATCAGCACAAGGATAAACAGCCTTACCCAATCCATGCTTTATTTTTATTTTATTGTTACTATTAAAGCATATAAATATCATGTTTATAAAGACTGAATAATAAATATTTCCATCAAAGGCATTACTTTTTCTAAAATACTGCCAATAAACTGTTATGCTTCAATGCCGTAGGAAAAAAATCACTTCTTTGGACAATATTTGGTCCCCGCAGGTGTTGATAACTGAGGTAGTAGTGTTAAAAGGTAGCCCTGTTTGTTTTTATTGCTTTATAAATCTGAAACTTCAAGTTTTTTATATTTTAAATAATTTTTTAAAGTTAAGAATCATTATTAATATTTCATTTCACAGTACCTCAGAGAAAAACACATGGACTATTCCATTATTAGGGAGCTCTGGTAGCATAGTGCCCAAGGCACTTGACTGCTAACCAGAAGGCTGGCGGTTCAAACCCTCAGCCACTCCTCGGAAGGAAGGTTGGGCAATCTACTTTCATAGTGATTACTGCCTCAGCAACCTAAGGAGGGGTAGCTATGAGTCGGGTCCGACTTGATGGCACGTAACAACAACAACATTCCATTATTAATAATGCCATTCAGTTATAGCTTTCAGCACTATAACATGCAAAATGTTTTTTTTTATATATAAGCAACTATAAGGCATTTCACCATAAAAGATAAATTCAGTCCATAAAACAATCTGAAGAATGCTCTTGTTTTTATTTATATTGCCTAAAATGCCAAGTATATTCTTACCAGTCATACTATAATACAGAAAAATATTTAATGAATCATAGTCATTTCATAAAAACTAATATACTATTATTAAACAAATTTCTCATTAAATGTCTACTCTAAAATTTAAGAATATTAAAATAAGAGAAATTGTTTGGCTCATCAAAACAATCATGGATTTATAATTAATGTAATTTATAATAAAAATTAAAGGGTTTTTATCATTACTTCAAAATGTGTTATAAACTTTCTTCTATATTTATGTTTACAGTTAAAATAACAAATTTTTATAACATGATGTTATCAAATTATTTAGAACCCATTTCAATCCAAAAGGCATGGAAGCTTATACTGTCCGTTAATGTAATATTCTAACAGTTAGGTACTATTCCTAATTACACAGTTTTTTTTTTTTTAATACTTAAAATACACATAATGAAAGACATATTCAGAGTTCTTTTATAAATACAGTAATATTTTATAGAAATGTATATTTCTTTGACCTATTATAATTATAGCTCTCTGTTCATTAAACTTGTGATCTTATTTTTTTTCAACATTAAAGACTCAACATTTGAAAACAGTACTATTCTATTCTAAGACACATCTTGTGACAATTCCTTAACAGAACACAAAGAAAAATACCTGACCCAAAATTAATAAAACAAATTACATGTCCTTCAATGTTAAGCAATTTGAAGAATTTGTCACACCCAAGCACTTATCTTTTACAGAAGTTACTAAAAGCTTTATTCAAATTTTAGTCATATGCACACCCACAATGAAAACACACTCAAAAGGAATTACAAACTGAATTATTAATTTGAGAAGGGCTCTTTTTCACATTGCAGCCACTCTATAAATAGGAGTCCATGAAGGTGATCATTTACCTGAAGCCCCTGGCTGTGCCTGCTTTTCCTCTCTCAACTCAACTAGTCCCCTCTAGCCATCTCGAGCTGGACTACTCCAGCTAAAACAAAACTGCTGAATAAGGAAGGAGACAGAAAACAAGTGGGAAAGGTAAGGTTGGAAGGTCAATCAGACAGTAAGCAGAAGCAAGAACATTAGGAGAGGCAATCGAATATGCTAAGCACCAAGAAAGAACATATTCAGAAAATTACAAGCATTTCTGTATGTTCAATTATTAAACCTACCTTTTGATATTTTAAGTACAAATATCAACCTTGCAGGGACTGCTTTTGAACTTTACTCATGGCATTTGTGACAAGGGGTCTACATTACTCACTTTAAAGTACAACACAACATTATTTCTCTTAAATGCAGTTTTTAAAAATCCAATTATTTATTTAACACAAATACCTTAAATTTGTTTCCCACACTGATGAAGCTGAGTTTTCCTGCTTTTTGTTTAGTATCTTTGTTGTTATTTGTGGATGATTCAAATAATTCCCGTATAAACTTATCTCTGGATTCACATATTAAGGATTCAAGAGACATGTGTAGGGCATCATTATTTTTCTCCACAAATTGGGTCTAAAAAAAATCAATCAAACAAGAATGCTTCAGTCCATCATGTAATAATATCTTTTAGCACAGTGCTGAGCAACTGAACTTTCTATGATGATGCAAAAGGACTCAAGAATTCCAACACAGGCCCAACACCTGTGCAGTGTAATGGTTAAATTACTCAACCGCCAACTGAAAGGTCGGTGGTTCAAACCTACCAGTTGCTCTGTGGAAGGAAGACCTGGCAATGTGCTCCCCTAAAGATTTCAACCTAGGAAACGCTATAGGGCACTTCTATTCTGTCCTATGAGGTTGCTATAAGTAGGAATTAACTCAATTGTTATTGTTATGTGCCGTCGAGTCGGCCCTGATTCATAGTGACCCCTCCTTGGGTTTCCGAGGCAGTATCACTACGGAAGTAGGATTGTCCAACCTTCCTTCCGAGGAGTGGCTGGTGGGTTTGAACCGCCAGCCTTCTAGTTAGCAGAACTGCCCTGTAGCATTTCCTAGGTTGAAATCATACAATAACAGTTATGCTGATGAAAATATTCAGTATCTGAAAGGTCTAACAGAGTGGCCACCAGTCAGTGTGGTTACTGAGCACTTGATGTGAAGGTTGTATGACAGAGGAATAGAATTTTTAATTTCACTGAATTTTAATTAATTTATATTTTTGCAAATACATGCAGCTAGTGGCTATTGTATTAGACAGCATAGTTTCAACATCAAATTGTTGTTGTTGTTGTTGTTGTTCCTGACAAAAGATACACTCACTGTTTCATAGCACACTGCTCCTGCGAAATGCCTGATAATGAAGCCTTCATCATCTCTGATGTTCCTATGTATTGCCAGTTTAGATTTCCTGGGAATCTGTAAAACAATACATATGTCAGTAATTCATCAAAAAAGATGACATAATTTTTATTTACAAAACATTTGTGATGTAAAATACCTATAAAATTACAAAGGAAGTTTTCACAATTACACTGCTTTTAAGTATCTAATGTTTTAAAGTACCAATGAAATCTAGCAAATATTTGGTTATAATCTCTTAGAAGAGAAAAAAGAGAGTAAGACAATTTTAAAAAATAAGCATACAGAAAACACAGTAGGCATTTTATAAAGTTAAATGCCTACTGCTATAGCAGTGGTTCTCAACGTTGGCTTCATAATTAGATTCACCTGAAGAATGTTTAAAAATCCCACTGCTCATACCACTTACCCATTAGATGGTTCCTATATGCAGCCATGGGTAAAGAACCATTGTTCTACAGAAAAACTTGAAATCAGCCATAGAGAGTCCCTGACTGTTTTAAACCATACCTCCTAACATGTTTACAGAATAAGCCTGCGTTTATTTGAAGGAAACACCATGGAGCAGTTCTACTCTGCATACACGGGGTTGCCATGAGTCAGAACTGACTCAACAGCAACAACAACAAATTCACTGTAGAGGTGTACTATCTTAAGTAGATTTCCTTATGATCATATCATATTTCAAAGTTTCAGAAATGCTCTCATATACAAGATCACACTTGACCCTCAAAACAACCTAAGATTAAGAATATCTCAATTAAAAGTGAGAAACCTAAGACGTGGAAACCTTATGTGGCTTGCTTGAGAGCAGACAGTTACACCACCAGTCTCTTTTCTCTATGTGAGGTGATATACCTAAGCAAGGATCCTGAGCCAAACTGCCTTGGCCTGACTCCCAAATCTACCACTTCTTCACGGTGGGATACACAGCAGGTCATTTAACTTTCACTTGCATATTTCTCACTGTAGCATGGGGATACTGATAGGATCTACCTCAGAAGACTGTTGTGAGGATTAAGTTAATTCAAGTAAAACTCTTATAACAGCGCCTGACACATAGTAAGTGTTCAATAAATGAGTTTTTTTTTTTAAATTTTCAAATTAATAAAACAAAAGTAATGGCCTATACAAATTGGGTTTACATCCTTGCTCATAGTTCTCTTTTGAGAAAAGCGGCCAAAGCTCATTCCTGACACTTTAGTGTGTGTCCTTTGAGCTGTAAGACCATGAGCCCCGGTCACAATTTTGCAAGCAGCCTGCAATCAGCTGCTAACCAAAAGGTTGGAGGTTTGAACACATCCACCAACTCCACCAAAGAAAAGGCCTAGTAAACTGTTTCTGTAAGTATTACAGCCAAGAAAATCCTTTGGAATAGGTCTACTCTGTAACAGATGGGGTCACATGAGTCAGGACTGACTCAGTGACAGCTAACAAAAGGGATCATTACCCTTGGTAAAGGTAACCATGTATCCACCAGCTGGTCAAAACAAAGACTTGGAGGTAGGTAGGTAGGTAGGTAGGTAGATCATCTTCAATCTTAGAAAAACTTTTGTTGAAGATACATATTGTTCTATTTATATCCCCAATGATCTAAGAGAAAAAGGCTCCAAATTAAAGGGACTATTTAGGGACACAGAACCCCAAGTTAACAAGGCAGGTGGTAGTGGGTCCAGTCCCTATCGATGGTTAGCAGAATCACATCAGCTTTTCACTTAATCTATTACCCAACACACATTCTTGTTTTGTTAATTATGAATGGAAACAAGAATATCCATCACCATTCATTTAATCTCCTGGATCCACCCAAGCAATGATTGTTATACTGTAGTACAATCTCAAACTTAGCTTGGGAGGCACTTGCCTGTTAGTTCCTAATTCCACTTTATCTTTCCTTTTTATTTTTAAATTGTTGTTCTCTATAACATACAGCACCTACTCTGTGGCTGAAACTGACAACAAGTATTTCTTCTGTGCTAATCTGGTTCTTTCTCACCCAAATATGGACTTGTGCTTGTATTACTGTAGGCAATGATGGCTAAGTTTAAAGATAAAGATAGAATTAGGGGAGCACAGGCAACACCTGAACAGCCATACAGTGCACCCTCATGGAGAACTGCTCTACCAGTCACTGTTGCATGGGTTCAAACACAGCTCTATGATCCACACCAAATGAGGGAACCAGGTCTTCTGACTCTTTCAGAAATGGACTCCTCAGTATTTCTACTGCTCTATGTCTGTTCAGAATCAAATGGCAATGGGTTGGATTTGGGTTTATGTCTGTTTCTCCCTCTACTCCAGCTAATTTTTCTATTGCTTTTGTTTCTATTTCACCTCTAAGTGTTTTTTCCATTCAAAATTCCCTAGCAAAGAAGATCAAAATGAATCAGCTGATCACTGTCTCATATGAATTGCTTCTAACAGTCAACATATAGTTGCTTGTGATTCTAGTATCTTGTGACTTCTGGACTGTGGTTAAGGTCACATAATAACATAAAAAAAAGCAACTTATGGCCACTTCGCTCAGAAGGGAGAATATGAGGACAACACGTAAATTTCTTCTGTATGTTGTAGATAGGTGAAGACATCTAACATGGTCAGATGTAATACCCTCTAGGCAGAGTATGTTCTTTCCACTCAACCACTGTCCCTATCACTGCCAAACACTGCAGCTGGCATTACCACTGTAATTAATTAATAACCACTAACAGATCAGCTGTCCATTACCACTGCACATAAACACTGTTCTTCCTCTCATACTTGCTGGATTTGTCTACTTACATTCTCACTAGGTCCTGAAGGCTTTGGGTTTGTGACTTCTGCTAAGGATAAAGCCTGTAGGCATTTCAGAATATTTACTCTAGCCACTCATCCTGCCTGGGATATCTTTCCACCCAGAGCAAGCACTTTGATTAGATAGATCACCAGCATCAATATTATATGTAAATCGAATGTTCATCTGTAGAAGATGCTGCATTGACTATATTATAGTTGCTCTAAGCCCTATATAACTATAAGGCAGACAGGCTATATTCCAAATCTGCCAATTCATCAGAAAGTAAAGCCATATATTTAATGTAGTCTTTAAAAATATTCTATAAAGAAAGCTATTAATATAATAAGCATTACATTTTTAAATTAGAAAAAGAGGCAAAGAAATGAGAAATTTCTCCTCTTCTAAATGACATCTATACTTCATCAGATAATGAGATAATTCTAATTATCTAATGAAAGTTCAAATGATTAATGTATCCATTTAAAGATTTCTCTTCCCATCCCAAACCACTGAGTCAATTCCAACTCATAGGGACCGTGCAGGACAGAGCAGGACTGTCCCTGAATATCTCTTTACAGAAGCAGGCTGACACATTCTTCTCCCGTGGAGCAGCTGGTGGGTTCAAACAGCCAACCTTTCAGTTAGGAGTCACACACTTTAACCACTATGCTACGAAAGCTCCTTTCTGTTCCCATGACCAAATCTCAATTAGGGAATTGTAAACTCACAGTGAGCCGGAAATGGTCCTTATGCTTCTGGTGAACCACAGATGTAAAGTGTTGGTCACTTGGCTGGGGGAGGCGATTTTCTTCATCCAAAATATCCAGTATTCCCACTAGTTTTGCTTCAATTAAATCTATTTCATTGGGGAAAAAAATCAAAATATTCACAACAGGACAAAAACATAACATTTAAAGATACGTGAGCAATAACTGAAAACAAATTTCAAGGACTAATGAGAAACAATGCAACAGATGATTCTATAGGTGTTCTCTAAAAGTCTATGAAGGGCAGACAGGCTATATTCCAAATTTGCCAATTCATCAGAAAGTAAAGCCATATATTTAATGTAGTCTTTAAAAGAACTCCATAAAGATAGCAATTAATATAATAAGCATTACATTTTTAAATTAGGAAAAGAGGCAAAGAAATGAGAAATTTCTCCTCTTCTAAATGACATCTATATTTAAAATGAAGGCAAACTACGGAAGCTTCTGCATGCAAAGCTTTTTTATACTGCTTTTAGAAATGCAATTAAATCATGCTTTCAAAGCAACTACTCAGTAATAGCACATTTTATGCTCCTTCCATTCATGACGTTTGAATTTCCTGCCCATCTAAAATAGGTGTAAAATGTGGACTACATTATATATGAATAATAATGAGACAGACTCTAAGGACCACAGGATGTATGAAATCAACATTCTAATGATGTTGGTCAGAAAATGATGTTTTTTTGGATAATTAATAGTGGTGAAGGAAGGAATATTCTGAACTGAGCCATAAATGAGAATACTGATTGGCACAGAAGGAGGTGGATGTGGACTGAGGGATAAATGGAAGAAAGGAGTTTTATTCAAAGCTATCAAACCATGTAGTCAGAGGTACAAACATTTCTACAAGTATATTGGTATGTTCTGTAAGAATTCCCAGGTATAAAGTAGAGCTGACAAGGGACAAGGCTGTAGTCACTTCTTGGCCACAGCCAGCTACCCACAAGGAACGAGCAGTTGGACCTGTGGGTTCAGGACCATAGTCCCAGGGGACACCACGCTCAACTGGTATAACATACTACACAACAACATTATTCCACATCCTACTTTGGCAAGTAGCAACTGGGATCTTAAAAGCTTGCAAGTGGCCATCTAGATGCAATGATGGGTCTCTCCTCATCCAGAGCAAAGAAGAATGAAGAAAACCAAAGATTCATGGAAACAATTAGTCCAAACAACTGGTACACCATGCGATCCTCAGCCTATACGACTAAGAGACCAGAAGAAGTAGATGGTGCCCAGCTACCACTGCCAACCACTCAGAGGGGGAATCTATGTAGGAGATCCTGGATAGAGTGGGACAACAATGTGGAACAAAACTTAAAATCATTTAAAAAAAAAGGGAGGAGAGGAGAGCGGGGGGACCAGGTTTGCTGGTCTGATAGAGCCTGATGCAACCATTGAGATTGTGATCTCTAGCTGCCCTTCAGGTCTAGAAGTGAACCCACTCCTGTGGTTTCCAGCCAAACAAAAGACAGGCACATGAGCTGAACATTTACATTAGATAGAGACACTCCTTGGAAAGAACAATCACAGGAGAATAGAAGGGCTGTGTATGCACAGGGAGATAGCTCAGAGGGCAGGAGTGCATGGAAGGAAGGACACAGGGAAGAGGTAACTATGGAGAGGAAGTGGGAGGGGAGCTGTTGCATTGTGGGAAACTACAGTCAATGTCATAAGACAAAGAGTATGTGAGCTGCTATATGGAAAGTGAATTTGCTCTGTAAACTTTCACCCAAATCACATTAAAAAAAATTAAAAAAAAAACCAAACAACTAGATAGTCACAGGTACAAAGGTGGGAAAGGATGTAGTATGCTAAGGGAATGGTAAGTCAATAGCTAGAGTGTGAAAGTGATTTTATTAAAGTCATACACATGTAAACTGAAAGCATAATAATTGTAACATTATCTTGTCCAAATCTAGCATATGAGTTATTGACTGGACTATCAAATTGGGTTTTCAAAACAAGGCTTGCTAAAGAGTTTTAGAGATGGGATGGGAAAAGAAAAGGAAGGATGAATGCTAACTGGAGGGCCACAGGAAAATATTTCTTTACAGTTAAAAAACATAGAAGAAAAATATAGACCCTGTTCTCCTGCTGCACAGTATTATCTGGATGTGACATGTACAACTTCTGAAGTTAACTGGAAGCCAGACAGAGGATGCTGCCAATGCACAAAGGAGGATGAAACCAACTTGCAGAAAAGCCAACTCCTGACAGACCTTCCCTGGAGCCTGACCAATCTATGAACTTCTCATCATGTGAGATAATAAATGCCTTTACTGCTGACGTGGTTGAATTTCTCTATTAACTGGTTTACATGTTAGCTGTTTAAGAAGGGAAATGGCCATAATAAATAGAACAGATTTTTGAAAAGCTGTCCAGATAGTTGAATTTGAGGCCTTGGTAGGAAAATCAACTTCCAAGCAGCAGTACTGGAGAAGCAGAACCACTCTCAAATATCACAGTTTCATGTCCCATAATCAGTAGTAACAATTACAGAGCACAGAAAAATTACTACCAAACACATTCATTGTATCTCCCTCATATATCCCAAAAGTGGAGTTAAATAATACATACCTATACAGTCCTGATTATCCACATAATGTACTTCATTAACACCTAAACCCTCTTTTTGATACAGTTCTTGTTCCTAAAAATTAAATAATCATAATCACACAGATGGAAATATTGTGCAACATGAAACAGACTCAGTGTTCTGTGCCATTTCTTAACATAACGTTTATGGAATAGTCAGAGTATAAAAGTTTACATCAGTTTTTATGGGGGCTGAGAAGAGTGTCTTACAAAACATTAGGCGAAGAAACTTTGCCTGCAGCACTATGAAATAAAGATATAAATGAACAACAACCATTTATCTTATAGATAAGCACATTCTTAAAATATCCAGAGCAGCCATAAACAAATACGGTAATCTATTTATAACCATTCAAACTCAAAGATCAGGGCTCTGAAATATTTTCCACAACTTTAAAGTCAGACTTATCAGCAAAACAGACCAGGGGTCAACAAATTCTTTCTGTAAAGGACCAGATAGTAAATATTTTCAGCTTTGCAGGCCATATAAAACGCACTGTTGTCAAGTCAACTTTGACTCATAGAGACCCTATAGGACAGAGTAGGCTGTAATCTTTATGGAAGCAGATTGCCACATCTTTCTCCCACAGAGTAGCTGATAGATTTCAACCACCAACCCTTTGGTTAGCAGCCAGGCTCTTAACCACTGCACCACCAGAGCTCCTCACAGTCTCTGTCAAATAATTTCACTCTGTCACTGGGCAAAAGTAGTCACAGACAACAGTAAATAACTTAATTTACAAAAAAGAGAGGCTGGCTAGATTTGGCTCAAGGGCCATAGTTTGCTGACCCCTGTAATTATCAGAGGAACTCAGGAACTTACTTTGATCATTCTAAAAAATTTAAAGTACCAAAAAAAAAGAAAAACCTAGCTCGCTTTGAGGCGTCTCTTTTATATCCCAATAGCCCTAGCTTTCCAAACACAGGCAGAGTAGATTTTGACCATTTGTAAGCAGGCACCAAAATCAAGGAAACAGTAGTTAACTACAAAAGGACTCACATACCTACGTGGTGATATAAGAAGTATGTATCAGTTGAGGAAGATAAATTTGGAAATAAGATATAAAACAAAATTATATTCCTAGATGTTAAATGTAATATTTTCTTTAAATTCTATATATATATATATGTATGTGTGTGTGTGTGTATGTAGATACACACACACACACACATACATATATACCGAAAATCCAAACTCACTGCCGTCAAGTTGGATCCGACTTATAGCGACCCCTTCCTTGGGTTTCTGAGGTGGTATCTCTATGGAAGTAGATTGCCCAATCTTCCTTCTGAGGAGTGGCTGGTGAGTTTGAACTGCCAGCCTTCTGGTTAGTAGTCAAATGCCTTAGGCACTACACCACCAGAGCTCGTGTGTGTGTGTGTGTGTGTGTGTATGCATGCTTAGGTTAATGTGTGTTCTGATTATTTAAAAGGTTTCTATCATCACAAAAAGTTTAAAAAAGAAAAAAAAGAAAAAGATTTTTGTATTCTAGATGGCACTGTCCACTCTAACCCAATCATGAATTTGCAATTCATATATTTAAGACTGTAGTAGAAAGTAAATATAAATCAAGACATGGTCTCTTCTAATATAGTTACTCTTACTAAATGCAGCCTCTAGCTGGGATTGATATGGAAGGGAAGAGTTAGGGTATGCTAAGCAAAACAACATTGTAACTAAAGAACTAATGCAGCTAGACAAAATATTTTCAGTCTCTTGTTCAGAAATTCTTGTTTTGCCTGCTGTTACCTCAGAATTGTTTTGAATACAGTGTGAAGGATTCCCTGGGTAGTGCGCAAATGGTTATGTGCTCAACTATAAGCCAAAATGCTAATGGTTCAAACCCATCCAGCCGCGCACCTCAGAAGACAGGCTTTTTTGTGCTCTCCTCCCAAAAAGCTCATAGCTTTAAAACCCCTAAAGTGTAGTTCTACTCTGCATTCATGGGGTCACCGTGAGTCAGAATTGACTTGATGGCAATTAACAACAACATATAAGTAAAGGAATTCCTGGGTGGTGCAAACAGTTAACGCGTCTGGCTACTAACCCAAAGGATGCCAGCTCAAGTCCACCCAGACATACCACAAAAGCCCTGGTGATCTATTTCTGAAAACTCAGGCACTGAAAACTCTATACACCATGGTTCTACTGTGACACACATGTGGTTGCTATGAGTCAGACCCAATGTCAACTGGTTATATAAGTAAAATGTACAAAAGCTGGAACATGCTGTGTAGCCCACGCAAACAAAGACATACTAAAAATGGGAGAGGGAGGTACTGGAAGGGATGGGAATAAGAGAGAAGTATTTCACATTTCAGTCCAGATAAAGTAGAGAACAGAATCTTAGAAAATAGCAGGGTATTAAGAAGGGAGGACAGTGTTGTTGGCCAGTGGCCAGGAGTGTGGGTTCAGATCCCTGTGACCTTCTACAAGTCACAGACTGCTCTGGGAACTGGTTTCTTCATCTATACAGTAAAAGGCTGGGTGTGAAAACCTCAGAGATCCATTTAAGTCTAGTATCTTCAGTCAGTAAAACATATCTCAAATAGCACAAAGGAAGGAAAGTCAAAGGTACTGGTAAGAAACATTGGAGAAGTCAAATTTCAAGGGGAGGGAGAAAAACGGTGAGACTAGCATAGTGGCTAAGGCACTTGACTGCTAACCAGAAGGCTGGCGGTTCAAACCCACCAGCCACTCCTCGGAAGGAAGGTTGGGCAATCCTACTTCTGTAGTGATTGTTGTTGTTGTTATTTGCCGTCGAGTCGACCCCGACTCATAGTGACCTCGGAAACCCAAGGAGGGGTCGCTATGAGTCAGGGCTGACTCGACGGCACATAACAACAACAACAACAAACCGCCAATCAACTGAGCTAAAGCTACCTTGGTATGCCTTCACTTCTGTACACTGTAGAGAATTATAGAACAGCTTTCCTAACCTTGGCATTGTGAGTGCCTGCCATGCCTGCAGTTATTTACTAAGAGAAGGGGCAGGCAGTTCCTCACTCAACCAGAGATGTACCCCAGCCAAAGGCCCACAGTTTACAAAGAACGTGGTAAGCAAAGCACTGCCCAGAGGCACTCGAGGCCAACTGCCTCATCAAAACTCCTGACTCGAGTGCTCTGCTGCCACAAGGGGAGAGTGAGCAGATGGCAGAGTGAGCAGAAGGGCAGAAGATGCTCGACAGTGATGAGAGTAGAAAGCTGGTTGGCAATGGCAGAAAGAGAGACAGCAGAATTAGCAACAGCAGAACTGCAAATCTAGTCAGTCACTAGGAAGAAGCAACAGATGTTCCTCACTTCTGAGGAACATTCAGTCATGTTCTGATTGTGAGCCTAAGAGTTTCAGCCACACAATTAACACATCTGATGTGCCTGAGCAGCAGGTGAATGAGCTACTTGTGCTGAGTTTTCCTGATTCCGTGGATCACCTTACATTATGCCCCCTCGATCAGGGTAACTGCGGCACATCTCTGTTCCTTGGAATTTAGAATAGTTTAATGTAGTTCTTAAAGTATAATGGCAATTACCTCCTTCAGAATCCTTTCATTAAAAAACTGTTGAAGTTTTTCATTGCAGTAGTTGATACAAAATTGTTCAAAACTGTTATGTTCAAAGTACTCTGAAAACATAATACCAGAATCAATAGTTATTATCATCAGGCCAACTTTATATTATAAATTGGTTTGGGATAAAATTTTAATATACTGATGGCTTAACTGAAAATTCAGAATACATAAATAAATAAATGTGTACTGTGCTCCCCAAATGTTCTTACTGCAAGACTTAAAATTTATTAAGAATTAAAAATAAATACTAAAAATACCTTGCTTCACTGAACAAAAGAGATTTTGTAATATGAAATAAATATCATACAGTAAAATATACAAAATGTAAGCCACTCTCCAACAATTTTTTTTAAAGTATTAAAGCAATCTGCGTTAATTAAAACAAAACCAATGGCTCAAAATGCAAGTGCTTTAAAAGATTTTTTGCTATGCAATCTAACATTTTAATTATCAAAAAATGCTATGGATGTTAATTTCTAAAATTAAAGAATTATACTAAACGAGCTCTAAGATCCCCACAGCTCTAAGATTTTATGATTCTGTGTATGTTTCGAGTTATACTGGCATAGACCAGGAAACAAATGTCTGAAGATTGTGAAATATTACTTCAGCTATAGGTGTTTACGTTTGAGCATATGATTTACCATAAATTTTTAAATACACATCATATCACAGAGATTGGCAAAATGGGGGGGGGGGGGAACTGCCAAAAAATACAAGGACATACACTTTTACTTGGCCAAGGCAAATAAACCACAGAGGAGAAAGACACTACTCCTACACTGACAAAGGCGCACCAACATCAATAAAGCCCAACACAAAGCCTGGGGCCAACAGTCAGATTTACTCTGAGAATTTTACAACACAGTCATTCAGAACAAAGTAGCAGCACTCAGATGAGGGGACTCTTTTCATTTCTGGTTACAAGGCCTCAAAGTTGATCTCAAGTTATTACTTAAGGTACATATTCATTTGGTGGAAAATTAATTGGAAATAGCTATTTCTTCACAACTAAAGTGTGAACACATTTTTATATATAGTCATCAGACTGGCCTATATGTCAGTTCAAACTATACCCAGCTTTACAGGGTAGTCAAAAGTTTATTAGCCCATAAATAAGAATTCTCTATACTTCCTGAACAATTTTTCAAAGTCCATTAAAAAGTGTTGATGACTTAATTATCTGTATTAGTAGCACTCAAGAGTTTACTTTATTCACTTGTTTTCATTTAAGAGTATAGAGACATCCCTTAACTATAGAGGTTTCAGTCAACATGTTTTAATTTTAGCATTATTGTAACTAAAACTACCCATAAGTCTTTTTTTTTTTAACACATCAGCTTCCTATTTAAATCATATTATGAAATGTAGGTATGTATGTAGAGCTTAAAATACATCAGGTAAAAAGTATTACAAAAGAGAAAAGGTTATGTTTTTAAATTTTAACTTTAAATATATATGGAAACCCAAATGAAAAAATGTCAAACAAATACAAATACAAAAGAAACTATACTTACCAAACCCAGCAATATCTAGGACTCCAATAAAATAAGATGATGTCTCAAAAGGAAAACATTGATTCACTCTGTTTACCACATGATCGAAGAGATGGCTATAGACAGTCTTTGCCAAGGCATCACGGGCATTGTTTGCTTGCTCCACTTTCAGGGGCACCCTATAAAACATCACGATACCAATGAAAATTCTTCATATTGGTGTTTTGTGAAAAAGACACCCAAGGTCAAAGTTCACCTAAACATACTCACTCTGAAGAGGGTCATTTGTAAAAAGGCACAGATAAATGAGGCTGAGTGAAAAGCTATAATAGAAGAAGTAAAGGAATTATTTGCAATTAGGAAAAAAAAATCACCTACACCTAGATTTTTAAAAAGCTGTTATTGGATAAAAGAACTTTAGGCCTGAAAAAAACTTAACATAATTTACACTAAACTATAATGCTGAATATATTTTTTTTTAAATATTCAGAAAAATAACCTTCCTTTTGATTTTTCATAAATACAATATTAATTATGCTTAATTCAGGATAATTTTAGTTTGGTAATTTATTTATATTATTTAGGGAAAAAATGATTACATCTTAAAATGTGAATTGTCCAACTCTACTGTTTAATATAAGTAATTACATGTTGTGACAGTATTTGATACTGCAGATCCAGAAACAGTATCTGAAAATTACAGTCTTATGAAGGGAGATTGGCATAAAAGAAAATTTCCAAACACTATGGTAAATACTGTCCTAACAGTACACATGTGGTACCTACCACAGGAGCACCAGAGAAAATGTCTAATTTGGAAGGAGTCTTAAAAGACATCAAGGTCAGCCTGATATTTGAATCCCTACTAAAGAGTGGTTTCAAACTGAAATTTCCCACAATCAAACTCTTCTTTAAAGTGAATCTTATATGGTCACGCCATACATAAAGTGCCTAAAAGAAATGCTTTGAACCAAAGGGGAATGCAGGAAGTGAGACTTGGGGACCATTCATGAAGCCTTTATGGGCCACTCTCTGGGCCTTAGAGCTATGTGCAAGGACCAAAGTAAGTGTGGGGCACTGCTCTACATCCTCTTTGCCAACTATTTTTTTATAATAAAAATGATGTGGAATTAGCTTAGCAAAGAGTCAGGCTAAGCATACCTTGCTAAAATTTCCAGAAGCATTAGTGCTGCCATATTTTCCGAGTGACTAAACAGTTTTCCTTTTCTTTTTTTTTTTTGAAATCTACTTCTGAAAACTCAGCCACTGAAAACTCTATGGAGCACAGCTCTCCTCTGGCACATGCTGAGTCACCATGAGCTGGAATTAACTTGATGGCAACTGGCTTTAACTTATTTTTGAAAATTCATCTTTTAATCTGTTGAAATTTTTTTGGCAATGTGTCAATAGAACACACTGTCTGCCTTATTTAGCAAGGGATAGAGGATCTGACATTCTCTCCCCACAGTTGAAAATCTAACAGTGTATCACAATGACATCTGATTATTATTTTAGTTTCCAGTAATACAAGTGAGTATGTATAAAGTATACGATATTGAACCAAAAGTGTATATATAGACCCACACACAATCTAGAAATTGTTGGTTGTTTATTTTAAAAAGCTATACGCTTATTTTCTTGTCATTCTAATGTCCTCTAAACAAAGAATTCTAAAGGTAAGGAGAAATTCCATTTGCTGAGTGTTTTGCTAAAGTCAATTCTACACAGAAGAAATTATAGTACATGCACCATTCAGTTAGCATGGAAACACATTTCTGAAATAAAATATTCTATAATCTAAAATCATCAAATATTGAGTGATATAATTAACTCATATTTTCAAAGTTGTATAAACATAGACCCCTTTCTTATCTTATAAATTCCAAATTTGTACCATGCCGTACATCTGCAAGGAACTATTTAAGAGCTACAAAAGTCCCCATTTATTTATATGGTTATTTACTGCTGTAAAAGGCACATAATTTTGATCTAGTGACACAGGTTTTAGAACATTACAATGAAAAAAATGTATGATGCACAAAGATCAACTTTAAAACTCAGCTCTGTGACAAACTGCAAGGCAGGATTTCTAGAGAGTAATGGGGTAAGGAACTTACTTTATAACTGTTCCTTTAGTGCCCCCTGCTGTTGTAAGCATTACTCTTGTGGTTAAACTCACACGAAGATCATCTTGATCCAAACCCAGTAATTCAGCACAATATTCCAATGACTGAGTAGATTTATTCTTCAGATTACAACCACCTAATGAAAATGTATTTTAATTTCAAATTAATTAACATTTCATACACCAAATCTTTAAGATACAATTATTTGAATTATACTCAGCTTATGTAAAACTACAGAATAGACAAGTCTTATTTGTAATTCTTAATTTTGCCTTAATTTTTTACCACCCATACTGCCAAGGCTACCTCAGGACCCTCTCATGGGATAAATCCATGGTGTAGTTCTTTCAGCCCATGAGTACTAACCTACTTCATTTTTTATGACCCTGTAAGCAAAATATATGTAAATATATGTAAGCAAAAAATATGGGAGCTCTGGTAGCGTAGTGCCTAAGGCACTTGACTGCTAACTAGAAGGCTGGCGGTTCAAACCCACCAGCCACTCTTCGGAAGGAAGATGGGGCGATCTACTTCCGTAGTGATACTGCCTCAGACACCCAAGAAGGGGTCGCTATGAGTCGGATCCGACTCGACTGCACATAACAACAACAACAAGCAAAATATACTAATGATGAGTTACAGTCTTTGTAATATATTCAATCTCCGAGAGAAATAGAATGCCCTAAAAAAATTCATTAAGGCTCCAAAAAGCTTCAAGGGGCAATTTTTATAGTAAAAGTTATAATATGTTTTAATACATCAATTTGGATAAGGATGTATGTCTATGCATGTATGAATGTGTATGTATGCAGGTGGAAATGCTGCTTGGAGAGGGAGGGAGAGGATGAGCAGGTAATTGTTATTATCTGCATATCATATCTACAGATTTCTGTTTTTAGAGGTTGTTGGAAAAAAATATTTTCTAGAAAGGCAGTGTACTAGCTTTAGACTCTGCTTTAGACTCTGGGTTGATCTGGCTCCGCCACCACCTACCCGTGTGACCTTGATCAAGTTACTCTCTGTGCCTCAGCCTACTCATCTATAAAACTGGAATAATAATAATAATATTTATCTCATAAGGTTGTTATGAATATTAATAAGTTAACATTTGAAGTGTTTGGAATAGTGCCTGCTATAATTATTATTATTGCTAAGAACATTAAAAATACTAAAAAATGTTTTCAAATTTATGTTTACATAAGTGCTTCGTTTCAATACCAGCTAAATCCAAAACTACGAAGAATATGTGGAAATCATAACAAGCATCTGCTCATGACAGATCAGTACAATACTTAATAGACCACTCTCAGAAAAAATAAGTCATGACATCTTGTAATAATAGGGGCTGTCAAAATGGTTCAATCCAAAAACCAAACCAAACACACTGCCATCGAGTCAATTCCAACTCATATAGACTCCCTTTGGGTTTCCGAGGTGGCAAATCTTTATGGAAATAGATTGCCCAGTCTTCCTTCTGCAGAATGGATGGTAGATTTAAACTGCCAGACCCTTCAATAGGGAAAGAAAAGTCTTTCCGAAAAATGGTGCTGACATGATAGAATATTCACGTGCAAAACAATGAATCTGGATCACTACCCCATACCTTATACCAAATTTAAGTCAAAATGGATCAAAAACCTAAATGCAAGAACTATAAAAATTCTCAGAAGAAAACAGTCACTTCATGAACTTGGAATAGACAATGGTTTCTCAAATATGAAACTAAAAGCACAAACAACACATGAAAAGATAAGATAAACTGGACTTTATAAAAAAAAAAAAATTATCAAAGAACATCATCCAGAAACTAAAGGAATTGTACTTAGAGTATATAAAGTGTATATGTATGTATGTAAGTGTACATCTATACATATGTGACTGTGTAGGTGTATGTGAATGATCATAGGAAGGATGAAGATTAATGTAATAAAATCCCAACAATTAAAATAAAAATAATTTAGTTATTCATTCTCTAGAGTCATTACTTCATTCTAAACCTCTCTACTTTCTGTTCATTTTTCCCTTCACCAAAAGGTAAGATGGAAGAAAAAACAAGAGAAACTACAAGTACGAACAATGTACCTTGTGACCACTATAATTATTTTCTACCAAATGAATCATGCAACATTTATGACAGTCTACATACATCTGCAAGTTACACAAGGTAATAACATAAGGTATAAAATGCCACATTACTTCTAGCAACATTTCCAAAGTGTGTGCATTAAATACTCTAAACATAGGCTCTTTTTTGTGTGTGAGTTTGGTATAACAAATGCTACAGACTAAACAAAATGTGTTCTAACATTCATTACAATTTCTAAATAATTTTGAAATCCCTTTAAAAAATTAATAAAAAGTTTTAAGGCACACTAACAGCAAATCTAACTTTTTTTTTCCATTTTAAACTGAGTAATCTGTGCTATTTTAATTATTACATAAATCTCTTAGTAGCACTTACTATGTGCCAGACACCAGTATTCAAAGCTTTTCACAAATATTTATCTCATTTGTTCTTCTTCACAACAAGAAATAAGAACTATTATTATTCCAAGTTTTCAAGTGAAGTAACTGAGACATGGTAAGGTTAAGTGACTCGCCCAAGGCCATGCAGGCAGTGCGTGGGGAAACAGTCTGTCTCAAGATCATATGCTCTTATCTGCTACACTGTGCTGAATCTCATATTATTGATTTCACAGCATCACAGGAAATTAAACCTGAAAGTCATTAAACCTGCCTATTTCAATCTGCTCATTCACAGATCAGGGCTCTCAGGGAGCTTCAGTGATCTGGGGACAATGAGGGGCAATTAGAATATGCTCCTTAGTTACTAAGATTTGGGTAAATGCTGGCTCTTACATTTATGTCTTCATTTAATAATTATATTCCTTAACTTTTCCACAAATTCCAGTTGTATAAAATGGAGCTAGTATTTCCTCCCTTATATGTCTACTGTGATATTTAGGTGGAAAATACAGTATATGAAGGGTCTTGCACACAATATATATGTTTTTTAAATGATCTTGTTCCTTCTCTTGTGCCCCTCACCTGTATGCATACCAGTGCCAGGTACGACACCTTAAAAGCATTTCTCATGGATTATTTCATTTTATGAATGAAGAAACAAGGCTCAGAGAGCCTCTGGGATATGACACTAAAGCCCATGTTAATGACTACTATACAAATGGTGCTTTAGATTTTTCAAAAACACATCCTTGATATAAAATTTTTAAATAATGATTAATGCACGAGTTAGCAAGTTTTTTCTATAAAGGGTTCGATAGTGAATATTTTAGACCCTGTGAGTCATACAATCTTTGTTGCAACTACTAAACTCTGCCACTGTAGCCTGAATGAATGGGTGTGGCTGAGTCCCAGTAAAACTTTATTTATATAAAAACAGGTGATGGGCCAGATTTAGCCCAAAGGCCATAGAGTCTGCCAACTCTTGTACCCATGATCAAATTCAGGATTATACAAAAATTCTCTCTATTTATGTAGAGACTGAGACACTAAAGCTGAAAAGCTGCTACAATCTAGATTTTAAGTACCTTTTTTCATTTACATATTGTTTAATGTGTGTATACTTCTCATTAATAAAGTATACAGGCTTTCACATATACTCAATTGTCCTAATTAATTGATTCAAATTTAAATCAACCAACCAGAAACATATCAAACACACTTTAGTAAATGAGAGAAAATTAATCTCTTTCCTTACTGAAAAAGTATAAAGTCAGCTGAAAATGTTGGTTAAGGGCTCAGCTGCTAACTGAAAAGTTGGTGGTTAGAACTCATCCAGCAGCTCCATGGGAGAGAGATTTGGTGAACTGCTTCCCTAAGTACAGCTGGGAAAACCCTATGGGGAAGTTCTAGTCTATCAGATGGGGTCGCCATGAGTCAGAATTGACCCGTCAGCACCAACAATAGTCAAAAGTTACTTGTCCTTCATAAAATAAGAGGTTCATGCTGATCATGGGAGCTCTGGTACTGGAGTGCCTAAGGCATTTGACTGCAAACCAGAAGGCTGGTGGTTCAAACCCACCAGCCACTCCCTGGAAGAAAGATTGGGCAATCTAATTCCACAGTGATACCACCTCAGAAACCCAAGGAGGGGTCACTGTAAGTCAGATCCAACTTGACAGCAGTGAGTTTGGTTTTTAAATGCTGATCATTACTACTAATTTGTTCAGAACAGGGCTCATAATGACTGATAATAAAGCATTCTTCATTTGAGAGATTCATCTAACACTGTATAGTCTAACAATTTCAAGGTAAATATTAATACACCTGTATGTAAACAGATTTAGTTACATATAACAAAGAAATGACAGAACTTTTCTCTGACTTTGTACTTCTTTAAAAAACAAACAACAAAAAACCTGAAGTGCTGCCGGCTTCCTCAAAATCAATATTTCCAAGGTGTAGGACACCAGCCACTACTCGAAACAGATCAAGCTTTTCTTCATCACCCAAACCAATCTTTTTCATGGCTGTGCACATTCTAATAAAATCTCCATGGTCATCTAACAGAGGATCCTTCAAGGAACCTGCCTTAAGATACTATAAAATAAGAAGTTATTAATTAACTAAACTTTAGATTATTTAAGTAGAATAAAATTACTACACCAGGTCTATTAATGCACTATATAACATGCAAAAATAAAATGGCAAAATTGTAGTATTCTCACACATTGAGAAACTGAATGACTTGGTAAAGTAGATAAGAGATTTCTCTGTACTACTTCTTACAAATGTATGTGAATCTACAATTATCTCAAAAATTTCAATTAAAAGCATGAATGAGATCTTTTCCAATTAAATTACAATGTTAACCTTAAAGCATCATAATGCTAGGATATTAAAGATATAAAGTAAGTGGAAAAGAAGTGAACATCAGTAGTTAAAATCAACATGAATCCACAGATCAAAGAGAACTGAGGTAAAAAAAGCTGTGATAAAAATTTAAATCTGATGCTTAGCATCACACTCCTGTAGGTTAATTACCATCAAGTTCACTAACATTAAATGCTAGTAAATAGTGATAGATGACAGAATAATTTTTTATTATTTTCTTTCTATATGAAATAAAGTACATTAGTAATCACCATGCTTATTCTAAGAATTTATACATTTTGTTCTTGTGCATTTACACATAAGGTCACCATAAGGTGAAACTGACTTGACAGAAACTAACAAAAATTTATGCAATAATCTATGCTAAAGAATAATGTAGAATCTGCAAAACACCGCATAACATGGATGAACTTGGAGGACATTATGCTGAGTGAAATAATTCAATCACAAAAGGACAAATATTGTATTAGTCTGTTATTGTAAAAGTTAAGGAAAGGTTTATCTATTGAAGGAAATTTTCTTTGTTGGTTACCAGGAGTGGGAGGGGAGAGGAGGGAACGCTGTTAGATAGATAAGAGATAAGTATTGATTTGGGTGAAGAGAAGGGCAATGTACCAAATGGGAGTGACCAATATGACACCATTGAGGATGAGAAAGACATAGAGAGGTACATGGGAGGTACAGACAACAAAGATGAACCCTTTTGCACATACAGTACTGCGTTGTCAGTGAAGGCAAACATGGGTATATGGATGGATAGATGGGTGGACAGGCTAAATGATTAGGTATGTCTATGAAATGGGGAGTGTATCCAACAACATATATAGGGTTGGCAGACAATGGTCCTATAAGTTTATGTGAATGATCAGAATTCCCAGGTGTACAGTAGAGCTGACAAGGGGCAAGGTTGTAGTCACTGCTTGGTCACATCCAGCCACCCAGACAGACAGAGTAGTTGAACCTGAGGGCTTGGGACCATAGTTGCAGGGGACATCAAGCTCAATTGGCATAACATACTATACAAAACATTGTTCCACCTCCTACTTTGGCGAGTAGCAACTGGGACTTAAAAGCTAGCAAGCTGCCATCTAGATGCAATGATGGGTCTCTCCTCATCCAGAGCAAAGAAGAATGAAGAAAACCAAAATTCATGGAAACAATTAGTCCTAGAGACTGGTACACCATCCAATCTGCAGCCTATACAACTATGAGACCAGAAGAACTAGATGGTGCCCTGCTACCACTGTCATCCACTCGGAAGGGGATCTATGTAGGAGATCCTGGATAGAGAGGGAGAACAATGTGGAACAAAACTCAAAATCATTTGGAGAAAAAAGAAAAGTAAAAAGAAGGTGGTTACCAGGTTTGCTGGTCCAATAGAGCCTGGTGGAACCACTGAGACTATGGCCCCTAGCTGCCCTTCAGGTCTGGAATTGAACCCACACCTGTGGTTTCCAGCCAAACAAAATACAGGCATGTGAGTTAAACATTTACCTCAAGTACATACACACCTTGGAGGGAACAATCATGAGAGAAAGAAGGGCTGCTTATGCACAGGGAGACAGCACAGGGGGCAGGAGAGTGTGGAGGGATGGACACTGGGAAGAGGTAACTATGGGGAGGACGTGGGAGGGGAGCTGATGCATTGTGGTAAACTGTGGTCAATGACATGAGACAAAGTATATGTGAACTACTGTATAGAAAATGAATTTGCTCTCTAAATCTTCACCCAAATCACAATAAAAAAAAAAATTATGCAATAATCTAAAATATTTCAGAAAATGAGGAGAAAGTTTGTTTTTATGTTCCCTCCTAAAATAACTTACATTTATTCATATGTTAGAACCTGTAGCAAACTCAGAAAAAGGGAAGAAGGAAGTCAGGTCTGCAGAAACCAGTAAGAGGAACATAAAAGTTACTGGACACAAGAAGATGGAACTAGGAATTTTCCAGAACTTGAGCTCTGGTGGCATAGTGCCTAACGCACCTGACTGCTAACCCAAAGGTTGGCAGTTCAAACCCACCAGCCACTCTGCAGAAGGAAGACCAGGAAATCTACTTCCATAAAGATTTACCACCTTGGAAACTCAGTGGGGGTCACAATGAGTTGGAATCGACTCTATGGCATTGAGTTTTTTTTTTTGTTTTTTTTTTTTGAGAATGAGGAAGTAAGTCAATTGGTCATGAAGGCTCTCCTAGGAGGTTTTTTTTTCTCCCCACAAAACACAGTGCACAGTATTTCCATCCATGTGATTATGATCATTTAACTTTTAGGAACAAGAACTCTACCAAGAAGGATGGTTTAGGCGTTAAAGAAGCACATTACGTGGCTAACCGGCTCCACTGCCATTGTCATTCCACAATTATTGTTTTAATGTCCAATTATGCTTGTGCAACGTTTCTGGAAAATGTCTAGATAATGGAATTTAATTTCATTCTTAAAAGAAGCAAACAACCACATGCAGCCAACATGAAAAGAAAACACATATTATGCAGAATTTTTAGTCTTTCAATCGAATGCAAACTTCATTTAAAAATTGTTTTTAATTAAATGTTAATCAACATATTCTATTATGGCAGACTAAAAATACTGCATTCTCTCAAAAACATTACACACAATTTTAAAACACTAAAGAAATTAGGCAAAGGATTCTAATTATTCAAAATGATCACCTCATCCTCCTGATAAAGAAGACATAAAAAATTATTAATGCATTTTTCACTTACATACATAAGCACTCAAGGTAATTAAGATTACTGAGAAAGTATGCTGACTGCAGAATCAGAATGAGTACATTTTTGTATTTGAAGAGTTTTGTTTCCCCTCTAATCAGTATTTTTCCATGCCAAAAGATCACATTTATATTCTTTTTTTTTTTTCCCTCTCTTTAGGTAGGTACCATGTCCCACTGAAGAATGCTTCCATTATCTTAGTGAAGAGAATACAACTTCTATATTATCATGTATAAAACAAAGTCTTACCAGGACAAAGGAAGATACCATAATAAATATTAATGCTGCTTCTTAAAGTTCCAACCATGGCTGTAACATAAACTGCAGTTTATGATTTAGAGCCAGATAGCTGTGTCTAGGATGATATGTAAAATGTCATCTTAAAAGTTAACTGAAGACTCATCTGCTTAGAATTCAAAATGGGAATTTTCACTCACTTGTTGTTTTCTAAATTAAAGTCATATTCATCTTCCTCATTTGAGGAATCAAAAATATCTGACTCATAAATCCAATAGCATTATAAACTGACTACAATAAAACCTGTTCAATAAAATACTCAGCATACATCTTTTAATAGAACTAATAAAGATAATTATTAACAAGTACCTATAATTAATCCCTATGTAGCATTTCATCATTTAAGCTCCTTGAATATACACAACTTAGTACCACTTATTACTTAAATACAACACATACTAAAATTTGTAAGGGCTATAGTAGACTTCAAATTAAGGATTTAATGTTTTTAAAATAATACTTAATGGTGTGATTATACCTAATTATTCTTAGAAACTGTAAAATAATCTACGTGAGACCAAAAGATAAAACTTTTCATAAGATATTACAGAAATATGATGTTTAAAGAGAAATATAATAATTTATACTCAGTTTATTTACTACTTCAAGACTTATTTCAGCCTTGAAAAAGACAATAAATTACAAAAGATACAGTGTATACTTCTACTGTTATACAGTTATAGATAGATATCACAAACGGGTAAGAAGAGAATTTGAAAAATGCTAGACTAGAATGATTAGGCAGTTTAATAATGTCATACTTGAAAAAGAATACGCAGAGCCGTGCATTGCAGCCTAACCAAGAAGAGCCTGAAATTGTTGGTGCTATATGTACCAAGAGTGGTTATCTCAAGTGTCACACTGTGAGAGAGACTTAGATCTTAGATAAGTATTTAGTTCTGTTTTTTTTTTTTTTTTTTTTTAAGTCTCAGCCTAAAATCCTATTTGGACTCCAAAATAACTAACATATCTTTCAATGTGGTATTTTTCCATTAAGTATTTTAGTTAAAAAATTAAGTCTACTATACCTCAGGACTTTTGCGGTTCTGTAAAATCTGTTTGTCAGTTTCTTTGTTAGCAAAGTATCTAGTGCAGCCTCGGTTTAAATACTACAACAAAGAAAGCAAAAAAATGTTAAATTAAAAAGTATGATACATGCAGGGAATAACAAAATGTATGAAATAGTGCTAGCCATAAAGAATTTCTGAACATAACTTGAGTAACACTTACTCTCTCAATTAAAATCAATACTACTACTATATATTATATAACATTTTTACGCCTATAATCAAACAAGGGATATTGAAAATCCTAGCACCCTGAAAGTAGATAAAATTATTCAATTTAAAAATAATACCACAAAGGTTTCCAATTTTAAAAAAGCAGCAATTTTAAATCTCAGTATCAAATGTCCTTTTAAAAATACAGTTCTTAATGTTACATATAATAATATCACCTTCCTACTACACACTTAAAAGACTCACAAATAAGGACCCACAGTGTGGTTTAATACTGTAAATAATATTTTAAATTCTGAATAAAGAAGAAATACTAATCTTCAGTTTCTTAAATCTATTTTTTTTTTTTTAGTCAATTCTTCAAAACATACCTGTCATACTTACTAGTAGTTAACATTGGATATACGAAAATTACAATACTTTATGGACCTTTTTAGGTATACAAAGAACACTTTCAGCTTTTCTTCTTTCAATGATTTACTATGCCAACCAAAAGTCTTATAAAGGCTCAGTATTTTCAAAACATAGAACAAGGGAAGCAGTTGAGAAGAAAATCAAATATTGGCCTCAAAGAGAATCACCTACCCACGTTTACTGCGGGAAGAGACTAGTCAGGAAGTAATACAAAAGGAACAGGATAGGAAAATTTTAAAAACATCTCAGCTTCTCTTAAATAAGGTCACTATGATCTAACTGCATCATGGCATGAATTCCAAGATTAAACACACCAAATCTAATAAATACTAAAAAAATTTCATAATAAAATTTTAATCATTTAGGCAGAAATTAATAATCTGCACATTGCTCTTCCCCCTACTGTAATGAAATATTAAAATTCAATTGACAACAGGCAATGATATGCAAAGAGCTTTTCCTTCCACCCCAGAATCTTAGGGGATGAAAAAGCAAAAGGGGTGCGGGGGGCAATAATAATAATAATGATAAAGCATTTTTAATTGACTATTTCAAAAAATAGTTCCTTTATTTAGTAGGATGATAGTAGCTTAAACATGTAAAGCCAAAACAAATTTTTTTGCTAGCAGGAGTTTTAATCCTGTTAAATACTTGGCTTTTAGACAGTTAGACTTGATATTAAAACATAGGAAAAATACTTGTTTCTTCCAACTTTTATATAATTAGAAAATCTGTAACTATTCCTATCATCCATTTTTAATCTATCCAAGTTTTGTTTATACTCAAGGATCTTTGCATGACTATAGTAAATGCTTCCTTAAAATATATGCAAAAAATATTTTAAAAGGAGGTTCTGGTAAGATGGCAGACTAGGCAGAAAGACTGCACAGACCCTCTTCAACAAAGAAAAGGGAAACCAATTAGCACAGACACAGAAGATAATCCTGGATCCCTGAGCCTTGAAGAGAAGGGTGTAGAAGTGGACTAAACCCCAACTAGCAGAAGAATTTGAATTAAAATACCAAAAAAGGAAACAGACAGAGCTGATGACTGGCAGCGATCCTGATGGCACAGACAGCTTGGAGAGTGCCGAGTAGTGGTAGGACCTAAGAATTAACCTAAAAATCAGCCCTGCTAGCCAGGGACTGCACGGAGGACTACTCCGATGGCTGGGAAATAAACGGAGAAGGCAAAGAGAAGGGCGGGCTGAGCTGTGGACTTTTGCCTGTCCGGAGAGAACTGCCATTTTGAACGTTTACAAGAAGCTTGACCATTTTGGATATTTAAAGAGACAGCACTCTCGCAGTTCCCAGTTGCCAGGGAACAGGTTCTCCTTGCCAGCAACCCCAAGGACACTCCGGACTTGCACGAATGACAAGGTCCAACCTTCCTCTTGTTACTCTTATACACCACAAAAGTTTGGTGAATGGAGGTGCGGCCATCCCCCACTCCCACCCACCTTCTGGGCCCACAGGAATTCCATCCCAGTCTGTGTGCTCAGACGGAGCCTGGGTGCCCTGACCTGTCCTCCACCAATTTTTTTTTCTCTTTTTTTATTTTTATTTTTTTTCTTCTTCGCTTTATTTCTTGGGGTGTTTAGTTTGCTTGTATTTGTCCGTTTTAAAACTACTATTATTAATAATACTTTTGTCCTTTTTACTATTTTTCTTTATTCTTCCCCTCCCAATTCCTAGTTTTAAGCTTTTTTTCTTTTCCCTGCTCCTGGTTGAAAAAAAATTTTTTTAATTTAATTTTTCTTTTCTTTTATCCCCTTTTTTCTCGTGATTACCTCCATTCCTTGTTTTTTTCTTTTTGCATTTTCCCCATTTTCTTCTTCATTTTTCTCCTTCCCTACCTTTTTTCTCTTAGTGTCCTATCCCCAGATATTTCAGGTTTTCTTGTTTTTTCTTCTTCTTTTTCCCTTTTATCTTTTTTTGGTTACTGTTCCTGTGTGATTACATGGTGTGTTTTTTGTCCATGAGCTTTTAGGTTTTTGATCGTTATTGAACTGTAATTTTTGTCTGAGTGGGAGACAGCAACAGTCCCCATATGACATAACCACACCCACACTTCCTGCAACTTCACTTACTGAGCGACAGCCACTACCTCCTTCTCCACCAACGGGCCAACAAGAAGATCCTGAATCACGCTTGGCTGCTCTTCACAAACAGTTAACAGAGATCTAAATACAACAACGCCACGATGTCTTGGAGACAACAGATCATCAAAGTCCACACAAAGAAGCAGGATAAAGTGATAGAAACAAGGGAGCAGGATACAGACCCAGAACACATCCTTGAGGAAGAAGCAACACTGGAACTCTCTGATAAGGAATTCAAAACAATTATATTTAGGTATTTTCAAAGGATTGAGAGACAGACCAAAGAAAACACAAAAAAATTCCTAGAAGAATTTTGGAAGACAATACAAGAACAAAATGACAAAATAAATGAAAAATTAGAAATGATTCTAAATCTATAGATAGAAATACAGAAGATTAATACTAAACTGTCAGAAATAGATAACACATTGGAAGGGCAAAGGAGTAGAACTGATGCAATGGAAGACAGAATTAATGAGATTGAAGACAAATACCTGAATACTTCTTTGGAAATGGATCAACCAAAAAAAAAAAAAGGAAAATAGCCTA